GCAGTTGTATTTGACATAGTGTGGCCTTTCAGCCCACTTTGAGCTGAGATGTGGCAATTTTTACAGAGTGAGCTTTTTGGTGTTTTACATTATATAGCTCTAAAGCTGATGGTTAGCACATTCCTCAAAATAATGGCCTGACATTAGTGATAATGGCCTTAAGTTAATTGCACACAATGGAGAATAGTAGTGTGTGGTGTGTGTGTAACCCTAGCGTGAAGGTTGTGTGCAACAATCCGGGTGAAACCTGTAAGCACTTCAGAGGGAATTTATCTCCAGTGTAATGCCACTGGGCTCTCAGAGGGATATTTTCATCGGTAGGCCAGAGAGCCCCAAGTGACTATGAAGTTTCAACTGCTAATACATTAAAACCAAAGGAGGTTTAAAAAGACCTAAAATGCTAGCCTTGGACACTGTAGTTCCCTGCTCAATAACAAGATGGGTAACAGACTTTTTCACAGCCTGGCTGTGAAATGTTTGTCCTGTGGTGGACTGGAAGGTTTGATTTGCTCCTTCTTGAGGACCTGTCAGTGCCATAAGGCAACGGTGTGGTTCTGAGTTGTGTGAGAGAACTAATCTACAAGGGGATAGAGTAAAATAATCACTTTATTTTTATTTTTTTGATATGAAACAACAGCCATTTACTGTTCATTTATTCACTCTTAAAGATATTCATTACCAGTGAGCATAATTATATCCAAGTCCTGAGCAAGGGATAACAAGGTATTTAGTTGATTTCATAACATGTCTGTGTAAATATTCTGTTCATAATATTCAGGCCAGGATCTGCTCCTTAGTGACTTAGTGTTGTGAACAGGACTCACACAATCAGAAGTGCAGCATTCAAGAAAGGAATTGTGTCAATGGGTATTGCCACAATGGATGTTGCCTGGTGGTCTGCAATTCAAGCCTGTGCTCAAAGATATTAGAAAGTAAATGAACGTGGGGTAAGAAGTGCTGGATACATTTTGATTTATTTGTTTAAAAGTGAAATAATTGTCTCACCTAGCAGTGATGCAATTAAAAAAGATGTTCTATTCCATTTCCAGAATCTGAATTAAGGATATTTAGGCAAAAAAACATGCACTATAGTAACCATATTTTATTTAAAAATTAATTAGCTCCCCACTGAGATGCCTTTTTTTGGGCCAGATTTTGAGTCAGTAGGAATTTTAAAACACAGCTACAATGCAGACTGGTTTCCCTTCCTAGCTTTGCCAAAAATAACTGCAAACAGCTTAGTGATGTACCTAGTGAAAACAGGCCTCCTCTTCTTGGAGTGGAAGTAGGGGCAAGCACTGAAGGATAACAATCGGCTCTTCCCAGACTGATTGTGACTTATGCTTTTGATGATGGCAAGCAAACAATAAGGGCAAAAAGGGGATATGAAAATTTTCATCTGTTAGGCAGCGCTTAAAAGTTGAGCTTCATCACACTTGACTAAAAGTCATCTTAAGGGGGAATATTACCTGGGGAAGTGTTTTAAATATACCTGTTAGTAGAACCAAATACTGAATGCTACGTGCCATGTGGTAAGGCTGTGTTTTCTGCAATCCAATATTCCAAGGTTAGGAGAAGCCAATGCCCATGCTATTTCCATTGCACATTAAGCATTTCAAGAACACTGTGATCCACCTACCATATTTAATAAACAAACCCCACAAATATGTGCTGTGTTAATTGAATTGCAGTGTACACAAATCTGCTCTGCATATTACAATGAGCTGTTTAAAAATAAATTTTTTTATTCATGCTCAATAATTCAGCATGTGACTACTTGTCTTGCTAAATATTGAAAAACTCAGAACTTCTTTAGTTGTAGTTAACCCTAGCAGTTGTGCCGGAGTTACCAAAGATTGCATCCAGCTTTTTAAAGCATTGCACTTACTGTAAGTTCTAGGAGGATGTGAACACCTACATGTTACTGGTACACCCTTTTCCAGCATGATATAGGAATACATCCTGGGATCCTTACAAACTCCTTTGAGTATACTTCTTACTGTTTTTTTGGATAGCTGACATTGTATTTTCTTGTCCTTGCATATTGTTATGCCATTTGATGGAGTTGTACGGCTTAAGCACGACATCGTGGCCTCTCCAGATAAACATATGAACGTTGCTCACGAGCCTTTAGTTAGCAGTTCCAGCTTTCCTCTCTTCAGAGTTTTTTTCAGATACAAGCAAATGGTTCACAAGTGATAAACCCAACTCTGCTGTAGTGGAATGTGAAATACTGTCATGGGGGAGATTCCCTCTTCTTTCCTGTAGTGAGGCCAGAAAACCTGTTCTCTCAAATACCATTTTGTCTGTATCCTGTGTTTGTTGCTTAATGTGGTGTTGGTATGAGCACAGATGTTTGCTAATTGCTCATTTTTCTATGTTTGTACAAGTAAAGCTACACAATAAAGCAGGTTACTATTTTATCTACACTAACAAATCTTCAAGTTGACTGCGTTCCAGTGCATACTTCAGCTTCACCCATTCACCTGTGTGTTAAATGTTGGTTGGTATAGGTCCTGGGCTGCATCCATTCAAATGGCCTGTTTTTATGACAGGAATAAAAATACTTGTCTAGGTTTGTAGGCATAGAAGAGTTACATGCTTTTAGTGTTAATGATTTATTTTATTTCAGGGAAACACAAAATATCATTTAGGAAACTCTCCATGAGAGACTGTGGAGAGTATTTCTTCTGTAATGTTCTGCGTTATGACAAAACGGTGGTACTTTGAAAGTGCTTTTTAAAGACTTTGAAAAGCTCAGTGCAGAGAAGGTAGTCATATATATAAGTGCAAGCACCATTATGTTCACATATACTTCTTTGAAATTCTCTTCTGCAGCAGTTCTTTATGTGGGACATCATTAACTAGTGCCAGAGAAATTCTGAATGTTCGTGCCCATCGGATTGAAATGTGTACATAAACCTACCCACACAATTTTACTGTGGGCTGAGCCCAGAGCCTTGCCGTTTCTAGGTTATGTTGGTCACTTCCTGAAGCAGTGTGGCAACACTTTGTAAAAAGCAAACGTGGTGCTGCAGCTGGAGTACTCCTGGTCAGGAAGATGAACGTGCATTTGGAGAAAGCAGGGTGCAATATTACTGCTGCGGGAGGATGGCTGGGGCAGTGCTGCTCAGCTCCTCCGAGGCACTGCCAGGGCACCCTGCGGGTGGCCCCGTGATGTGCTCTCACCCCGGCCTCTCTTGTCAAGGGCTGTCCCACTGCTCATTTTGCAGATGCCCAGAGGAATCAGAAGAGCTGTAAGCTTTTAGGTAAATGTGACATGTAATTCTATTAGAATAGTTTCTACTTCAGATAGTGTCTGCTGATTAAAAAAAAAGTCCAGTGGTGGTTTTAAGCTGTCAGGTTCACCGTGCCATTTGAGCTGTTTCAGTGTTGTTTGAAAACAGGAGTTCTGTAGTTATTTTCAAACCGAACACTGAGACAGGTCAAATGGCACGGTGAACTCACTGCTACACTTTGAGCCCTGTTTCTAGTCTGATGCTCTAATTTCTACTTCCAGCCTTTTGTTAACAAGTTTCTCTTTGTGTAGATTTGGACAAGCTGTGATCTTGTCATTCCTTAAGGAGTTCCTCTTTATTAAATGGATTCAGCTCCTCTTAAGATACATTATCCTGTCCTTATTTGCATTGTTTTTGTTTCTGTTTGTTTGTTTGTTTTTGTTTTTTCTTCTGCAGCTGATCCTTTGTGATTTGTAGACATTGATACTGAAGTACTGTAGCTCGTCTAGACATGGAAGTAAATAAATCTTTGTCCATAAAGGATATTCCCTGTTTTAACCAAAGATCATGTTAGCACTTTGCTGTGGTGCTGTATATGAGGGATCACAGTTCCCAAATTGTTAGCTACCTTGAACCAAGTCCTCAACCTCACCTTTTTTTCTCAATGCATGATGTTGCATTTGGTTGGCACTGCAGGTAACCCACTGCTCTTTGCATTTATGACTTCTCTCTTGTTCCCCACCGTGTATTGTTTGCAGACGTTAGCATTGCAATGTGCACCTTGTCTCCCAGGTCATGCATGATTTCACAGCACAGCACCTGACTGTTACTTTCCTTTTCTTAACCTAAAGCCCCCTGCTACAATTTGTTACTAACTTGTGTAACCCTCTGTGTGTGGTGCCTTTTCCCCATCTATTTGTGCTTCATGCAAAGCTCTCTCAGCAGTTCTTGGTTCCTCGCATCGCTCAGAGGGGCAGGTGGCTCATCCTAACCTGCTGTCAGTGTCAGCTAACAAGTGGCGATGTCTCATGCTGGCCTCTCCCTGCTGGTGCGGGAGGAAGGGAGGGCCAGCAGTGAAGATATCTTGCAGGCAGTAACGTGTCTTTTCTGAAGCTGTCTGGGAATGTCACGTCCAGTCAGCACTGACGGTGTGAAGCCGTCTTGCTAAGTGCTTTGGCAGGAGCCAGAGGGACGTGAACATGTCCCTGTGCACTTCCAGTCTTTAATTTGTGCGTTTGTTGCTAGGGGTGAGTTTCACCCTACAGAAGTGACAGCACATCGTAATTGCAAAGCCACAGCTTTGCTAGGGCTGTTGTGTGCTTTAATATGGAACAAGGTGCAAGGTAAAGAGCCAGGTGGCCTTTAGTGTCTTTAGCAGATAACCTCTAATACCTTGTTCAGATGTGGAGCAAGGTGTGTCTAGAACTGAACTGCCAGCAGCAGTTTGAGGCCTTAGAGATCTCCCATCTCACCAGCCCAGCTTGAGCAGACCAGATGGGGGTACAGCACCAAGTGTTGTTCCTGGAGTCTTGTAAAAAATCACGTCGAGGAGAAAGTGGTATGCTGGGGTCACTGCAACTGTTTTTGTATGAGGCTGGGGGCACAAGAAGAGACAAGAGAAATAGATCCTCTTTAAAGCTGTTGCGTAAAATCCAGTGTATTGAACGGCAGGAGTAAAACTGGAAGACAAGCTCTGGAAATTTCTTACTGTTTTAGTCAGAAATCTATAGAGCTGTGAGAGAGATCAGACAGAAGGGAGTATGAATGTTCAAAAACACATCCTTTATTTCAATTTCATGTAGATTCTTTTTTTCTTTTTAATTTTTCACTCTAGGAAATTCAACAATATTTAAAATTATTTTTATTGGTTGCTTTCTCATTACTGTCTGTCTGTAGACACTTTCAGTGGGGGTACACTCAGTGGCTGGCCTACACACAGGGATTCTGCGGGTGGGAAACTCCAGGAAGGGAGAGCTGAATTTGTCTGCACACGTGTGACCCAACCAAGGCCACTAAATCACCAAACTTATTTCTGAAAGGAAATTAAACCAAACTTGCCTATCAGAGGAACAAGATTTTGTGTCCTGGGATCTATCTGTAGCACGCTTACCACTACAGCTTGTGTTGCCAGTGCCTGTACTTTTTCCGTGGTAGCATGGTTTGATGTTTCTGTTCAAGCTGGTGGTAGTGAAGAGCTCAGTGTAGCTTGTGGTTTTTGGAGGCGTGCCTCCACAACAGAAGGCCCCTGGTGGTGTACCGACGTAGGTTTATTTGGTAGACCACCTTTTTTGAGAATTTCAGAGCCCATGCTACTAAAATAAATGTAACTATTGCTATTGCAATTAAAATTAAGTCTTTCCAAAAGAACTCAAGGCATTTGGTTGGGAGAGACCTCTTGCAGGTCCCCAGCTCGTTCCCAGTCAGCTGCTTCAAGGGCTTCATCCTCACCGGAGCAGGAGTTGCACATCTGATGTTTGCAAGAGCGGCTTCAGAGATGTCTTCTAACCAGAGTTTTAGATACAGGATATGACAGTCACAGGTCCAAGGATTGTCAAACAGTTTTACTTCCTCCACACTGAGCAAGCTGTCCAAGGCCCCGGGAGGAACCGTGCTCAGGCTGTTATTCTGCAGATAAAGCCTCTTGGTGTTAACGGGCAAGGCAGGCACTTCCTTCAGCTTCCTTGAACTGCAGTCTATCTGCAAACCCTTCCTTTCTCCCAGTGCCTTACAGCTGCAGGAAGGAGGGCATGCTTCAGTTTGGGTCATGCAGAACAGCAAAGATATGGCAAATCCTGCAGCAGTGATGAATTCTGCCTTGTTCATGCTTCAGCTAGCAAGAGAGTAAGAATAATAATCTGATAAGCATGATTCCTTAATTAGCTAATGTCTAAATGCAGAACCAGAACACAACTATTTCATTTTCAGTACTGTAAGTACAGTTGGGAGAGAGCACAGAGGTCAGTTTTTGCCTCTAGTTCATTGCTTTTCCTTCATCACTGTACAAAATTTATTGTTATTCAATGTTCTGGAACAGACTGTCAGCAGGAGGTGATGCTGATAGCTAGGTTAGTTTTAGGCAAAGATTTAGATTCAGTTTCTATATCTTCAAGAGTCTAATGTTAAAATTGTGTGTCAGAGATTTCAAAACTGAGTTTAAAAGACTGAATAATTGTAAACCTCTAAACATCTTATTTCTGGGCAGATGAAGATCCTAAACAGGATGTAGGAATTTTTATGTTGTAAAAAGTTGTGCTTTTGTTTCTTTGTTTTTTCATCCCCTGCCTTGTACCCTCATGCAATTCTGAGAAAGCACAATTTAGATCAGGATGAATAGAGAACTGGAAATTTTGCATATCCATTACTGCTCGTCTTTCAGGGATTAAATGACCATACTTTGGGATTGAAGGTAATTACCCTTTTTGCTATGTCATTCCTAGTTATATGGAGTGGCTCTCACTCGGCTTTCACTGTAGTGTCATCCATTTTGCAGTTTAAAATCTCTAAAATTATTCCCCTCCTATATTTCCTACTATGTCTCTGCACCTAAAAATGCATACCAGGCCTTGGGACTGCACTGAAATTTTAAATACAAACTCCCTTGCTCAGATTGAGTAAGTCATGACTGTGGAACCATCTTTCTTTGATTTTAATACATAACATAATGAAAAAAAAAAACAACCAACCAACCAAACAAACAAAAACATTTCAATTCATTTGAATAAGTATATTAAGGCAAAAATGTCTGGCTATATCGTCCTGGGTACTACTCAGCAGGTACTGTAAAATGTGTTGAGTTTTTATATCACTACACCCGTAAAGAAGCCTCCTTTTATCTGAAGAAGGTGAATGCAGTTGTTGCAGTTGTATAATTTTTTTGTAGGCACATGTGAGAAGAACATTGAATATGATTTAAAATTAGACAGGACAAAGCCTTAGAAATAGTGGGCAGATATAACAGGCCTATTAACAACAACAAAATTACAGTTTTTTCATATATAAGGTGGTAAGGTAAATCCAGAGTTTAATTTACTTATTTAGAATGGAATTTTGAAAAAAAAAAATCAAATGATTGTTTTCAAGTGTACAGAGATTTTAGATTTTTTTTTTTTTTTTAAAAAAAAGGTTTTCTTATAAAAAAGTAAGCTGAGACTTTTTTCTCAAGGAAGTTTCATTTAATTAAGATTAAAATTGTGTGGGGAAAAATGGACTGATTTTCTTTTAAATTAATTTACTTCAATTTGATTACAAGGATTATGTAATTAGCTTCCTGAAGTTGGACATCTTTAAATTCTTATTCTAAACACTAAATTTCTATATTTTAAATGGGATTAATGCTACATAAAATTACAGACTTCATCCCAAAGTAGCTGAAATATTAATCTTAACAACCTCCCATGTCTTTGTTAGCAAGTAGTTGGTCTGAAGATCTTTGGCCTGAACCTAGGTACTTGTATAATAGTTTCCAAGAGATCTATTAGGGCTGTTCTTTTTAAAGAGACATTTTAAAAGGATAGACTGTGGGACTGACTGAAAAATTAGCGATATCTATATATAAAAAAATACCACTTCTGATTTAGCAGACAGGAGGGAAGAAATTCCAAATCAAATAAAATTAACAGCTGTGGCCAAAAGGCAGAAAGGAATTGGTGGTGAGAGTCAGGCCTGACCCCTGACTGCCACTTACCCCTCTTCTTCCCCTCTTGCTTCCCGTCCCTCTGCGCAGTGAAGTGCTGGAGCACACGGTGCAACAGAGCTGACTTTATGGAGTCAGTAAGGAAACAGCTTAAAGACAACGATCTTTTTCTTATGCATAATAGGAAACCATGCCCAGTGGAAGATGTGTCAAGTGGTTGACATGTGTCAGGGAATATAGCGCCTGAGGCATTTTTATATTTTCTGCAGACAAGAGGAAACGCTTTTCCGTCGTTTTTATTGCTAATATGCTTTTCCTATTACACCTGACAATTTAAAAGCCTAAAATAACTCACCTGAAATCTGACAAATTTCTTCCTCAGCTGTAGTAATCTCCATACAAATTTAAGAGTTAGCTTCAGATTCAACTTTGGGAACACACAAGCCTAACAAAGATACCAGGGAGCTAAAAATAGCCCATAAAATAGAGTTCTTGGTTGTGTTTTAGTCACAGCTACTTGTGTCTGATGAAGGATCTATGTGCATGGATCAATGGGTCAATTCGTATTTTGGTGTAGAAATGAATTCCCCAATAGTCAGGGAAGGTGCACGGGGAAGACTTGCCGTCATGGTTAGCAGAGCACAGCCTAGAGGATGGGGAACTCCTTGGCTCCCTGTATGCCCTTTCTCCCCAGTTAGGAGAGATGTGTCTAGCTCAAGAAAGGCCTAAGACCTTGCAAATTTCTTAGCTCTCATGTTGCTGGAGAATATCAGCAGCATGACATCTCAGAACGTAAGGCACTCAGCGTACGTTTGGGTGAAAGCCAGTAATTCAGGATGATACAAAACTATAATTTAGTTTTGACCTCTATTATTTCATACGTGAAAATTTGGTAGAGAATTGAAATACAGTTTTCCTTAGCTTTAGCTACAAGCATGAACACTAGAATTAATATTGCAGTTGACTTTCGGAAACCCAGTGTGCCGTGGATCTGATGTTTAATTCAGGACAGCTCTTGTTTAATATGTTGTTTTGGAGACAGGCCTTGAGCTGTGCTCTGCATTTTGAGGTGAGTTTCATATGTTGCAGATGCACTGTACAACCCTGCTTCTGAACTGCTGTTTCCTTATAACACGCTGTTCTTGAAGGCAGACTAATGTTTGACATTTAAGATTATTTGGATAGTAATTACTATTGTTTAATTCTTATTTATATTTAAAATGTTTTTCTTCCTTAAGTCCAAATCATTTACCAGTAGCCTGAAGTTTGTTAGGAGCATCCTTAAGAAAATGATTTGCTGTGTATCTCTGCTCTTTAGCACTTTAAAAGTTATTTTAAACACTGCTGTGAAGGCAAAAATACTTAAAACCCCTTTTGAATTTCATTTTTTTTCCCCTATAAGATGAGGAAAGTAATTTTTCTCTCGTTAAATGAGCAGTCCATCTGCCTGTCAGATGCTCAACAATTGGGCCTGTGAGTGGACTGCTAATAACGGGAAGATCCTTCTGTCTTAGGGATGGTTTCCTGCAAGTGTGGGTGGGATGTTTGTGGAATATCCAGTTTATCATTTGTCTATCCTTATGACTTTGAAACATGTTCAGCAGAGATTAGAGATTTCAGGTGGCAAATGTTGATTACCGTGGTGAATGATTACATTCAGTTAACAAGAGGTCAGATTTAAATGTTCTAATAAAAGGGAAATAAAGGGTTTGCTCTTGAGGTATTTGGTTTCAAGTTGCTTTTAGAGGAAAGAGAAAGACCAAGTGTTTGAAGTGAGGTAATTGCTTATTGACTAAAAGGTAAATTGTGTGTGTGAATGTATGTATTGCTCGGGTGGTTATCTTTCACAGAAAGATCTATGGATGAGATTTTGATTTTTTTTTTTCTCTCTCTCTTTAACAGAGAGAGAGCTTTTTTTAACAGAGAGCTTTAAAAAACTAAAGCATGCCACTAGACCATAGATTTCATAAATGCCTGTCTTCATCCCTGCCTGTTTCCTGCATCACACTATCAGTGACACATATTCAGGAATGCTGCCACGGAATACAAAACCTGCTGCTATACAGTGGAAACAAATGCTGCGTCTGATAGCATCCAAACAGATGCAACATAACTGGAATCCTTTGGAGCCCCTACGCAGGTTCTGTTTTTACGAAGGTGGTCTCTGTTCCTCTGGGTGCTGCGTTACACGTGGTTGGAGAAGCAGCTGGTCACACTGAGTGTCTTACTTCTGATGAGGACTGAGAGCCTTTCTTCCACTCAAAGGGATGTAAATGTGTGCAGTGAGTGTCTGGCAGAAGCAAAGCTCAAAATACAAGGCATTAGCGTTTATAATTTTAGGGCTATAGCTTCTTGTAGGCCAAATGACAAATTCTTCTTTTAAGAGGATTTATTAAGAGCTGATTAGGAAAACAAAATTATAATCTGCTATAATCTTGTTATAATATATTATAACCTGAAAACATTTTTCACAGAGTGAATGTATTTGAACTTTCTGTGAATGAAAAAGGCTGTCAGGCTGCTCAGTGGTGAGGTATTTCTGATCATTCTTGTTTCCCAAACCAAACCTCACTACCTTGCTTCCTGAAAGTACATTGCTCTGGAGTAGCTTTCTTTTCAGGCCTTGACTTTCCCGTCAGTTACGTGACTGCTGCTTCTGCCTGCTGCTACAGGGGGAAAAAAGTCGGAGAGGGGGGATTCCTGGCTTGCTTGCAGTTACAGATACAAGCTGCAAATTAAAGCTAAATGTGCAGAGCAAACGCCTGATCTACTAAGAGGAAATTCAGGCAGAATGTGCTATTATCTTTTATAAAAGGTTTTCAGGAGTTATAGTCACTCATTGTAATGAATGACCTGTTCTTGACATAGAAAGAAAAAAATCCTTCTCAAATCCTTTTCAAGACCTACTCCCATTTCCAATGCTGACAAAACTTGCCCATCACTGTCAGAGAGCAAAAGTGCTTCTCATCTGAGTTCCATCACAATGATTAAATCTGTTCTTCTGTACTTTCCAATAGGCTGCTGACAACACTAATCAAAATATTTATAAATTGATGAGAGTCACTGGAAATTCAGGAATTATGCAAATAATTAAAAATAACAAAAGAAAGGATATTAATCACGAAATTCAATCACGCATCAAGGAGTATCGCCTGTCGAAATTAAAGAAATTCTGTGGCTTCTCTCACTTCTCAAGTACTTTTAACCCCTGGGACAAAGTGCTCCTGCCATCTACTGCACCCTAGAGGACTAAGCTGTTGAAGTCATTCTGGTATTTATACATAGGAGGACTCCAAGTTTCATCCTGTACATATTCTGCTTCTTGTATTGTTTCCAATGGCATGCTTACCATGGTTTTACCTGATTTAATTTCGCCTGTGTCAAACCAAATATCCCATTTCCTCAGAAGATTATTACATGGGCAGATAAACTCTTGTCGTTCAGGAAATTCTCCTAAATTGTACTCCACTGATTTTATCAAATATTTTTGTCCTTTGCCTGCCCATTCTCATTCAGAGCCTCTCTCCCTGCTGTTTTCACTGTGCAAAACGGTACAAAGTTGCTGTGTGATCCTCAGCTATTGCTTATCTTTCCACTAGGTGTCATTCAAGTTATTTCCTTTGTTAAACGTGGAGCATACACTGTCTGAATCAGCCTTTGTGTATAGTTTACCAATTCAAAATAATTATCAGATAGGCTGAAATACTCTTTTAAAGTACTATTTTTTTTTTCCATAACATACAAGACTAAAGTTTAACAGGCATACAAAATGTGTGAATTACATAATGTGTCTAAATCAGGTAGCTAATCACGTATTCGTGTTTTATGGAACTCCTAGGGCCATGAGCCTGTTAAAGAAAATAAATATTCATAGATGATTTGGGTTCAAACTGTCCTCAAGAATATGTTGCTATCAGTTATGCTAAATTGCAACAATGGTAGAGTGTACATGGGGAAGCTTTTAGCGAGACTCTAAGAGCATCATTTTTAAAAGACACACTGTCAGGGCAGTATTTCCCGCAACAGGATTGTGCCTTGGCAGTTCCCTGCACTCCCAGTTCAGTTAATTAGCTCTGAACATGCACCAGGGAACCCAGTAATCCTCACAGCAGTCAGTGCATTCAGTGTTTCTTTCCTGTATTTCATTAACTGAGTGTAGCTGCATTGATGGGAAGTGCTGGGCTTGGTAAAATGGAGTCAGCAATGTCCCTCTCTGCCTTGCTTCCTTTGTTGAATTAAATGTTTTGCTCCAATTAAAAATAATAAGTTTTCTAGCTCTTTATCCACAGACACTGTTATTGAAAATGCAATAGTGTGTTTCAGTCAAACTGTTGAAACACAAGGCTGCATATATGGAATAAGTTATTTAGGATCAGGATTAGGCTTTCAGAGCAAATCTCCCCATCTTCCCCCTTTTCCAGGCATGCCTTTTAGATGAAACCAAATTGCAATATGAACTCTGGAAACATCTGATTTGTTCCAGGAAGCTCAGTACTGGGGACCAGCCCAGAATAACACCGCCTCTCCAGGTACGTGTGGTTGGGTGTGGTGTCCTTAGTTTGCAGAGTGTTTCATCTAGTTCTTTAGGTTTTTCTGTTTGCTGATATGAACATGGCCAGCGTCACAGCCAAAGCCCTATCCATAACTGAGCTTTTCTTGAATGCCAGGCAGTTCCCCGGTAAAAATGCAGTGAAGCCTGCTAAAGATATCAAGCATTTTACCAGGTTACTGGACAGTAGCTGTGGCAAGACTGTAAAATGTATGAGGTCAAGCAGCACAGTGAGCATTGCAGGGCTGTCCTTGTTTAAGGAGCTTGGTAATAAACAAAATCAGTCTTCAGCCCCAGTATCTAAGGTCCTGCTATTTTCTGCCTGAAGAGTTGGAAATGTTGAAGGCAGGGCATTGAACTTTACGGTCACACTGAACAGTTCTTGGAAAGATCAATTAGAAATTGATTAGTGTCTGATGCAAAAGGCTGTATTGGAAAAGCTCAAGTGATGACTTTCCCCTGGTAGTTCACTGTAGGTTTAAGTCAGTTCCTAATTGATTAGATGGTTAGTTTTTGTATTGCCCTTTATAAAGCTATGATTTTATAGTTTTTGTTTGTTTGTTTGTTTGTTTTTTAAATAAGTTAGTCAATTCTGGATACATTTTCAATGATGAATTATTTTTCCAGGTGTGAGCAGCTAGAGTC